TTTTTTTTGTTGAGTCTTCTTTTATTTGGTATCTTGTTCTTTTGTAATGGACCAAAATCTAGAAGCCATTGAGTCAGTTGTGAGTGAAAATCAGCTAGGTAATCTTGAAGTCCAAATTCCAACCAACAGCTGGGTTCCTTCCCAAGGTAGTTCTACCGATCCGATTCAAAATGAGTTATAACAAACTTCAGATGAAGATACACTTATATACAGAAAGGTATGAAAAGAAAAAGCAATTTCTTCATGCCCTGTTTTAGCCTATTCGGTTCTTTACCAGCCCGGTTCCTTCCCCCTGGCGCTGGTTGTTCATTGTTGTGTCCTGCTGGCCCTTTGGGTGCTGCTCCATTCTGCTGCCTTTTGGCCTCTTTTTTTTTCTGCCTCCCCTTTGTTGATTGGAAACCATGGGTGGCTTTTTCATTTTTGGGCTGTTTGGCTCCCTTTCCTCTCCTATATATAGTGGCTGATTTGAGGCTTTGAAAAATATGTTTTGTGAGAGAATATTTGGAATGTAAAAACCTGAGGAGATGTGAAACCATTAGGAATGGCATTATAGATTATAAAGAAATTGATTTAAGCTTTGCAATATAAACTAATGTTTCACAAGATTAGATGTTTAGACTTTATGATGTGAAACCAGGAGTTATTTTTTTAGAGATTAATTAAAGTATTGTTGGAGCAATGATAAAATAGTTTAAAGCTTCTCAAAATTGAAAACTCAAGATAGATCTTAGAAGTCAACAATGCTTAGGCAATACGTTACAACTAAATTTGCAAGTTCTTTAAAATAACAACTTCAACAAAAGTAATGAAATGATTAATCAACTAGAATCCGGCGGTTAACAAAGCGATTGTCTCACCTTGAGGCTCAACTTCACTCTTCTTCGTCTAAGGTTGTCAGAGGAAGAAGAACCATACAAGAAACGGGATCACTCCAAAGTAGACGGCGCCGACGATCCGTAGTGATGGCGAGGGAAAAGGCGGCGGCGAAGGTGGGGAAGCGGGTGGATGTCCGTCGAAGGTCCAACCGTAGTCTTGGAATTGATCGTCTATAGCGTCCACGACAGTGGGAAGGATGAGGTTCAGATAATCTTCAACAGTGTCGTCGGAGCCAAATCCGACGTCGAAGAATGGTGAACGGGTGATGTGAATGTCTCCGTAGATATCGAAAACCATCCGCTATCAATCTCGGGATCCACCATACATGTTCATGGGAAATCTTGACGTCGAAATAGTGAAAGGTGGAGGAATTGTCACCTAGGAGAGGTGCGGCCAAGAGGAAGGGAGGGAGAAGGAGCTTAGGTGGGAGGGAGGGAGGTGCAGGAAATCTGAGAGATATTCAGATTTTGGGCAATAAGAGGAAGAATTAATTTGAAAATTCAAATCAAGCCTAAGAGGGAGAGAGGGGCGGCAAAGGGGAGAGATTTGGGGCTGAATTAGTGCAGATTGGGAATTAATTTGGGAGAGAGAAGGAATCCATGGAGAGGCCGGCCAAACTAGTGGAGAGAGGGGGGTTTCAGTTTTGAGGAGGTGGGGCCCACTTGATTATTCAATTGATTTGAATAAATCTGAAATAATTTCATATTTTAAGCATAAAGAAGGTTTCCTAAATTACATGTAAGCATTAGGCAACTTTTGATTTCCAAAATTAGAATTAAAATCCCATTATGAAGATGGCCTAAAATTTAGGAGTTATAATTGGAAGGTAATCAATGCCTCTTGGGGATTTGAATTTCAAATTCAAAAACCAAGGGGAAAGGGCCGGCGGGTAGAGAGGGTAAGAGGGGAAGAGGGAGGGAATGGAGGCCAGCGGCCTTGACGGGGCTTGGGGTGGTCGGCCGGCAGCTTGGGCAACCCAGGTGGCCGGCGGCAAGAGGCTGATGGGGAAGGTGGAAAGTAGGGCTAGAAAATCAAGGGGAAAATTTGGAAGACTTGGATGAAACTTCAAACCTCATGCACCTCCTTTACTAGAGCTCACAAAGAGATCTACAAACTCCACCTTTTCAAGAACTCACAAAGAGATCTTGAAGGATGACACGAACTCACTAAGAGATCAATAGAGAAAAATTTCATTCATTCAAAACTAAAACTCAAATACAATGACTAAGCCTATATATAGGCCATCCAAAAATAAAAAGCATAAAGAGGACATTACCCTTGGGCTACAACAAGCACTAACTCCGTCATTGTGAAAACCCGAAAATACCGTTTTAGATCTCGCACGCTTTTCAAAGCGCCGCGACGAGGTTTAAGTGAAGTTGTCACTCGACGACCCCTCTGATGTAAGTGTGCTGAAATCTCCTACGGATGTCCTCATCATTCTCCCCAAGTGGGAGGAAGCTCGACCCTATCGAACAAGGGTCCTGAGAACTCTCGTACAGCTCCAGAAGGTCAGGATCCAGCCTCTGTATCTCATCACGCTCCAGCCATGTATTCTCCGTCTCCGGCTTCCCTTTCCAACGAACTAGGTAACATCGACTCCCGCCATCCCTGGTGGAAATGATCTCATCACTGAGTATGGTTTCTATCTTCTCCGTATTAGGTAATGTGGGAATTTTGGGGAGTGGAGGTAGGCTTGAGATCTCACTTGGTATGGTCTCACAAGGCTCAATATTTAGTGGATTTTCAGGGTTAAAATCAAGGCCATCAAAGGCTACTAGATCCTCAATGTTAAACGTGAGATTCATGTTGAAACCTTCTGGAATGTCTAATACATAGGCATTACTGTTTATTTTGGAAGCTATTTTGAAGGGCCTCGCGCTTTTAGCAAGTAATTTCTTAACGGCCCCTGGCGGAAACCATTCCGGACGAATCCGAACCATGACATAGTCTCCAACTTCGAACTCCTTCAATCGTCGCTTAAGATCAGCATTAAGTTTATATTTATCATTACTTTGTGCAATTCTTTTTATTAATCTCTTGATGCAATTCCTGGAGATGAGATGCAAATGCGGATGCAGACTCTGACACTCTAAGCTTAGGGCTCATGGGGATTAAATATATCGGTTGCCTAAGTTGGTATCAGTATACAATCTCAGCTGGGCTCATGCCAGTGGTCCGATTAATAGAATTATTATAAGCAAATTCGGCAATAGGCAATTTAGAATCCCAATCTCTAATGTGTTCACCTACTAAAGTCCTAAGAAGGTTCCCAAGGCTCCTATTGACAACTTCCGTCTGACCATCTGTTTGTGGGTGAAAAGCGGTGGAGAACTGCAGTTTAGTACCCATCTTAAGCCATAAAAATTTCCAAAAATAACTCGTAAATTTCACATCTCAATCCGACACAATTGTTTTTGGGAGTCCATGAAGTCGAACAATTTCATCAAAGTATAACTTGGCAATCCTAAAGGCATCGAACATTTTGGCATATGGGAGGAAATGAGCCATCTTAGAGAAGCGATCTATTACTACACAGACAGAATCGTTCTTCTTAACGGTTTTGGGTAGCCCTAAAACAAAGTCCATACTAACATCTTGTCACAGGCAGTTTGGGACGGGAAGTGGAGTGTAGAGGCCGGTGTTCTGCTTTCTTTGTTTAGCTAATTGGCAGGTATGACATCGTTTGATCAATCTACTAACATCCCGCTTAAGGCTGGGCCAGAAAAATCTATATTCAACTGCTGCAATGATCTTTGTCTGCCCAAAATGCCCAGCTAAGCCTCCAGCGTGTAGTTCCCAAATGAGGAATTCACGAAGTGAAGTGTTGGGAATACACAACTTTTGAGACTTAAATAAATAACCATCTTCCAACAAGAAATCATCTACAATCTATTCATTTCCAATCGTTAGTGACAAATATGCTTCTTTACAATCAGGCCAGTCCTTATAGCCTTCTTTGATGCGTTCGAATCCAACAACTTCCGTTCTCATTTCTCTAGTGACCATTATCCTAAGACTCAAAGCATCAGCTGCTTTATTCTCAGCTTCGGCCTTATGTCTAACTGTGTAAGAGTATTCTTGGAGGAATTCGACCCAACGGCCGTGCCGGGCATTGAGTTTCTTTTGAGAATTAATATACTGCAAAGCCTCATGATCCGAAAAGATAACAAATTCTTGAGGCAAGAGGTAGTGCCGTCAATACCTAAGAGATTGAATGATAGCATAAAATTCCTTATCGTAGGTGGAGTACTGTTGTCTAATGTCATTCACTTTCTCGCTAAAGTAAGCGACAGGGTGACCCTCTTGATATAGGACTCCGCCTATGCCAATTCCTGACGAATCACAGGTCACCTCAAAAACTTTAGAAAAATCATGTAATCTCATTACAGGGGCTTCCATCATTCGTTTCTTAATTTTCTCAAAAGCCTTAGTTGCGGGTATAGTCCAATGAAATTCTCCTTGCTTAAAGCAGTCCGTTATTGATGCTACGATGGTGCTAAAATTCCGAATAAACCTCCGATAAAATGTAGCCTATCCGTGAAAACTTCTAACATCTCTAATGTTCTTGGGTTCTGGCCACTCATTTATAACTCGCACCTTTTCTGGGTCCGCAACTATTCCTTGATTTGATATGATAAATCCAAGAAAAGTCACACTATTGGTGAGGAATTTACATTTGGCAGGATTAGCAAATAGCTGTTCTTTCCTCAAAACTTCACAAACTTGTGTTAGATGATTGAGATGTTGGTCCACCAAAGTGTTATAGATTAAAATGGCATCAAAGTAAACTACTATGAATTTTCCTAAAAAGGGTCTGAGGACTTGAGTCATGACTCTCATAAAGGTATTTGGGGCGTTACTCAGACCAAAAGGCATTACAGTCCATTCATAAAGTCCATCTTTCGTTTTGAACTCAGTTTTCCGCTCTCATCTCCTAGACGAATTCTAATATGATAGTAACCACTCTTAAGATCAATCTTCGAAAAGAGGGTGGCTCCGGTCATCATGTCTAACATGTCATCCAATCGGGGAATGGGGAACCTATACTTGACAGTAATCTTGTTGATAGCATGGCTATTGACACACATTCGCCATGAGTCGTCCTTCTTGGAAGTCAGCAGTGCAGGAACAGCACTAGCGACCAAATACCCATAAAGGCAAAAACGAAAAAACATAAAATAAAAATAAACTACTACATAAAATAATGAAAATACAACTCATGCTCGTAACCATCGATCTCCGGCATCGAAAATGCTGACGATGTCCTCATCAAACAGCACACGGGCTAAGGCTCTCTTTGATGAATCCTCGTTGCAGGAGTTCATCTATTTGTTTCTTCGGTTCAGCATGTTCAGTTGGGTTCATACAGTAGTGAGGAAGGTTGGGTAGAGATGCTCCATGTACCAAGTCTATCGCGTGTTGTATGTCACGCAGAGGGGGCAATTGGTTAGGTAAGTCTTCAGGGAATACATCAGAAAAGGTTTTAAGGAGTGGGTGGACCTCTTTAGGAATGGGTTCACCTACTTCTTCATTGGTTTCCCGAGCCACTAGGGCGTACATGGTGGTTCCTTGGTTAATCTCATCTTCTACTTCCTTTGCAGTCAGGAGGTGTAGCCTTTTGCTTTGTTTGGCTGGCATAGGCTTGGCTTCCATCTTAGGGGGTTTAGGCTGTGAAGGAATTAACTTGATTTTCTTCCCGTTATGCTCGAACACCCATGTGTACGTTCTCCCATAAATATGAACGTAGTTATCAAATAACCACGGGCGACCAAGAACAATTTAACCTACATCCATAATCAAAAAATCACACCAAATCTTTTCCAGATATCCCACAAATTCTATAGGAATAAGGCTCCGATCCTTAATTTCGATGGTAGTCGAGTTTATCCAAGAGACCTTATACGGATTTGGGTGGGGTGTTATTTTGAGGTTAAGTTTGGAAACCATAGCTGAAGAGACGGCATTGATACAACTTCCACTGTCGACGATAACTTTGTAGCTCTTTTCTCCAATATTAGTAAAGGTATGGAAGATGGAGGTTCTTCGCCAATCATCACTTGGTTTAGGTTGGGACAACGCACATCTAACAACTTGTAAGGTAACAGGTTCGTCCTCAGTGAAGGAGTCTTCTTCCTCATCAACATTATGAACTAGATCAATTTCAGGTTCGTCATCGTCTTCATCCACTTCTTCAATTATGGTGACCTTGTAGGGGCTAGAACATTGCGATGCAATATGCCCATACCCATGACACCTATAACACTTGGTTCCTGAAGTGGTTTTGGGAGTGTCACGTTCGGGGGCTTTACCTTTAAAGTCCGTACGAGGTGGGCTGAACTAGCAGTGGGTCGGTTCACCGTAGAGCCCGTGGGTTGGGGTTGTCCGGATGAGGTTCTATACAAAGTTGAGCATGAGTCAAAATGCTTAGTTTGGGAATGGGTCATAGACTCCTCGAGGTCGAGAACTAGACTGCAGGATGCCTCTGACATGTCTATTCCTCTCGCGAAAAGTTCAGTTCGGAGATCTTCCCTAAGGCCAGCTCTAAACATGGATAGGATTTGTGTTGGGGTAGCAGATTCTTCGCAATTGCAACGGATCAGGAAATCGTCAAATGCGGAGATGAATTCTTTAACGGGATTGCTCCCCAGGGTCAGCCTATTCCATTTATCTAGGAGCTTAGGGTAGTAGGACGGAGGGAGGTATTTTCTCCTAAGCTCTAGCTTCATAGTTCTCCAGTCGGTGATGGGATATTCGCCTCGAGCCTCACGCATATTTTCTAAATTGGTCCAGTACAGGTTGGCTCGACCTGTGAGTTTCATTTCAGCAAATCTAACTTTCCTAGCTTCCGAAATGTTGTACCATTTGAAATAACTATCCATCGCTTTGAGCCAATCTAAGAAAACTTGAGGGTCAAGGGTCGTATGTCGGGGCATCAATTCTAATGTTCTTAAGTAACTGAGCATCATTATCTCTCCAAGGGGCCTCATTTCCTAAGGTGTCTTGATTGGGCCTAGGGTTATGACGGTATTGATCTCGTGGTAGTCCATGATCGGTCCTGGTGTCATCACCATAAGGTGACTGCGGCCTAGAAGGGGTGTAAATGGAGGGGTTTCCTATGTGCTCTGTGTTATCCAGTCGATCACTTGTTTGTCGCCTAAAGTCTGCTAAGTCCGTCTGGGTGTTGCGGATTTGTTGCGTAACAGTTTCCAATTGGCCCACTATGAGGTCTAGAGTTGCCTGGATATGTTCCGAATCCATGGGTGGACGCTAGGGGTTGCTAAGGGAAGTACCGGGGTGGTGGACAGCACCTAGACGCTAAGGTAAAATGCTCCTAATGCCTCTATATGATGCTGAAATGTTGTGGACAGCAACCTACAACAAGGGTCTAAGGTGTCTAAGTGTTAAGGACAGGTTTTGACAAGGGGACAGCAACTTATGACAGATTTAGGGTCACCTAAATGTCCCTAAACAGTGCAGAAAAAATTCTGCGAAAGCAAGGTTTTCTAGTGTGGAAAGTGACCTAAGCAATAGGGTGAGTTGTAATGATAAAGACAGCACTTAGATGATGTAATATGCTTGCTTAATATGTTAAAAACATGCAGAATTTTACTCGACAGCAAAAGAAAAACAGCAAATAAAATTATCTAGATGGTGTTATGCATGCAAATGACTAAAGACAAGATAAATTAGACTCCTAGGATGCATTTAACACATGTAAAGCATGCAAACCATGCTCTGATACCAAGATGATATGAAACCAGGAGTTGTTTTTTTAGAGATTAATTAAAGTATTGTTGGAGCAATGATAAAATAGTTTAAAGCTTCTCAAAATTGAAAACTCAAGATAGATCTTAGAAGTCAACAATGCTTAGGAAATATGTTACAACTAAATGTGCAAGTTCTTTAAAATAACAACTTCAACAAAAGTAATGAAATTATTAATCAACTAGAATCCGGCGGTTAACAAAGCGATCGTCTCACCTTGAGGCTCAACGTCACTTTTCTACGTCTAAGGTTGTCGGAGGAAGAAGAACCATACAAGAAACGATATCACTCCAAGGTAGACGGCGCCGATGATCCGAAGTGATGGCAACGGAAACAGCGGCGGCGAAGGTGGGGAAGCGGGAGGATGTCCGTCGATGGTCCAATCGTAGTCTTGGAACTTATCGTCTATAGCGTCCACGAGAGTGGGAAGAATGCGGTTCAGATAATCTTCAACAGTGTCGTCGGAGCTAAATCCGACGTCGAAGAATGGTGAACGGGTGATGTGAATGTCTCCGTAGATATCGAAAACCAATCCGCTATCAATCTCGGGATCCACCATACATGTTCATGGGAAATCTTGACGTCGAAATAGTGAAAGGTAGAGGAACTGTCACCTAGGAGAGGTGCGGCCAAGAGGAAGGGAGGGAGAAGGAGCTCGGGTGGGAGGAAGGAGGGAGGTGCAGGCAATCTGAGAGAAATTCAGATTTTGGGCAATTAGAGGAAGAATTAATTTGAAAATTCAAATCAAGCCTAAGAGGGAGAGAGGGGCGGCAAAGGGGAGAGAGTTGGGGCTGAATTAGTGCAGATTGGGAATTAATTTGGGAGAGAGAAGGAATCCATGGAGAGGCCGGCCAAACTAGAGGAGAGAGGGGAGTTTCGGTTTTGAGGAGGTGGGGCCCACTTGATTATTCAATTGATTTGAATAAATCTGAAATAATTTCATATTTTAAGCATAAAGAAGGTTTCCTAAATTACATGTAAGCATTAGGCAACTTTTGATTTTCAAATTTAGAATTAAAATCCCATTATGAAGATGGCCTAAAATTTAGGAGTTATATTTGGAAGGTAATCAATGCCTCTTGGGGATTTGAATTTCAAATTCAAAAACCAAGGGGAAAGGGCCGGCGGGTAGAGAGGGTAAGAGGGGAAGAGGGAGGGAACGGAGGCCAGCGGTCTGGACGGGGCTTGGGGTGGTCGGCCGGCGGCTTGGGCAGCCCAGGTGGCCGGCGGCAAGAGACTGATGGGGAAGGGGGAAAGTAGGGCTAGAAAATCAAGGGGAAAATTCGGAAGACTTGGATGAAACTTCAAACCTCATGCACCTCCTTCACTAGAACTCACAAAGAGATCTACAAGCTCCACCTTTTCAAGA